CAAAGGGACACCTTCAAAGAAAGCCTCAGCTGGATTCGGCTTCTAAGTCCCAGAAGTCCGAACCTGTGCGACAATGCTCGGCATGTCCCTTCCCTTCTTTGGGTCTCAGTTTCCCCGTGAGTAGTCTGCACTCCAACAAGTAAGGTTCTCTAACCCGTCTGCGGCCCTCTGACCCTAACGCAGTCTTAGGCCAGACTAGAAAGCCCCGAGCGGACCGCCCCACCCAGCCCCTTGCCTTCCTGCCCAGTCGCCAACACAAGGAAGCCTCCAAGGGAGAGTTCGCGACCCTTACCCGTCCGCAGACGTCCCTCTCTCCAGTTTCAGAGCCCACACCCTATTCTGGCAGCCCGCGTGAGTTGAGGATTGGCAGAGGTTCCTTTAAGACCTCGTCTGACTTGGCTTCGTGCAGGCTCAGCCAATCTAAGCTCGCGGCGCGATTCTGCCCAATCAGGTCTGGGCTACGCCAAGAGCGCGCCGCTCCCAGCCTTGGGCAAGGCCTTTGTCGGATTAGTCCCACCCTTTCCAGCTCTGCACCAATGGCAAGCGGCGGCGGCGGGCGGGTCACCAATGGGGACCAGGGCTGCGCGCGTGGCGCGACGGGAACGGCGCCGAGTTAGTGTGTATTTTGGTTGCCGTAACAACGAGGAGAGGCGTTGGTCGGTGATGGTGAGTGCCAGCTCTCCTGTCGCGCTGTTGCCCAGAAGCTGAGCCCTTTCCAGGTTTAGGTCGCCCCTCTGTCTTTCCAGCGCCGTTCTGGGCTTTGGCACGCCCCTCCTTCCTCCGATTTCTTCCTCCGAAGGGCAAGGAAGAGACGCCGGCCCCCCTGCTAGGCCTGTGATTCGCCACTGGCTCCCCTTAACCCACAGCCCGTCCCCACCAGCCAATCGGCGACCTGTTCCAGGGCAAAGAAGACCCGGGTTCCCCTAAGGCCCTACCCCTTTCAGACCCTGGCCTCCCGGCCGTCTCTCTGTACCAAAGTTTCCACACGGTATTTGGGGAGGTTTATGATATTTGTTAACGTGCATTTTAAAATTTAAATATAGGGCCATTCGGGAGACGCTTTGACCTTCTTGGGGAAGGCACATACAGATGTGCCCAGTGGATTGAGTTTTATTATTCGATATCGACAGAATAGACATCTTATTAATATTTGTCCAAATCTAGAAGTAATCAGAAAGAGTACTTGGAAGCAGAATACCGCGAGTGGGCGTTGTAAGGACATTTCTAGAATTAGGATCCCCCAATTCATGGAGAGCTTGTTATCTGTACAGTTATCCACACTCTGGACCTTAGCTAGCTCGCTCTCTTTCGGTGTGATTTTCAATAAGGGATGTTCCAAAAGAACAAGAAATTTCCTTGCTTCTAGAAACAATAGTAAAAAAATGGGAGGGATAGAGGTGTATGGAAAGATTCATTGTTCTCCCGAGTAAACCCTATTATCTCTCCAGTTAAGCAAAGCTTTGGGACTGGTTGGTATAAAGTACTTTAAAAACATATATTATTGTCTTTATTTTATGTAAAATATGGACTACATTACATAATATTGTGCTTATGTGTTTGTAAAACATCTAAAGGCCTCTAACTTTAAGAAGGCAAGCATGGCATCAACTGCCCAGCGAAAAAGGATGAGTCCTAAGCCAGAGCTTACTGCAGAGCAGATACAGGAAATCCGGCAAGCTTTTGATCTCTTCGATACTGATGCAACTGGGACTATTGATGTTAAGGAACTTAAGGCAAGCCCTGTACACTCCCTGCTCTGCCTTTCCTCTCCCTCTTTGTCTTCGTTCCCTGTCACCACTCTACCCCTTTTGTCCTCTTCTCCCTGAAAAAAGTAACAAGGGAAGAATGCACTGTACTATTTTCCTATCTTTACTTACCCCAAGTGTTATTAAATAAAATGAGTACCCATGCTGGCTTAATGCTCTCAACACTGTCATTTTTGCTCTTGCTATATTTAGATGTGCATATTGAGATTTTCCTGTTTTCATTGTAGGTGGCAATGAGGGCACTGGGCTTTGAACCCAAGAAAGAAGAGATTAAGAAAATGATAAATGAAATTGATAAGGAAGGGACAGGAAAAATGAATTTCAATGACTTTTTGACTGTGATGACTCAGAAAATGGTAAGTTAGCTAAGATAGTCAGCATATTTCTTACCCATAATGGACAAGTTTGAATCTAGATATGAAAATGTTTCACAGAAGAAAAGTTAATACAAACTGGGTGAGTTCAGCTAATAAACGATAGTATTTATGACTGGGAATTATGATGCTTAAGTTTTACTTGGCTTTCTTCAAGGCCACAAAGTCACAGAAAAAATCATTTTACCCTCTGTAAAGTAGTAAAGGTACTACTGCTGTCACTTTTTTGCTATTATCTTTCTTTAACTGGTATGTCAATGTGATAACCATAAGCACTAAAACCTATAAACACCAACAATATTACAGGATATTACAGTGTCTCATGTTTTGACAAGATGAAATCCCTGTACCCAAATTCTTCTTTCCCCAATTGTTATTCAGGGCAGCCTTAGCCTGAGGGTCCATTGCTCAGCAGCTGTGCTTTTCACATCACTGGGTGTTTGGCCTTTCAGCACTTCCAAGGTTTAATTCACCCATTCTCTAATCTCTCAGGTGTCACTCTTTTAAAGGGTCCAAAAAGTCAAGAGAGACTATAATATGTCATCCCACCCCCTCACTCCCTTGAATGTCATCCTACCCAGGAAGTATGTTCCCATTGGGCCATTGCTCTTTCTTTGGGCTCCCAGCTCCTTCTTAGTGTGGCTCATCTATGCTCTACTTGTCTGTGGAAAAGTAACTCCATTAGTATCTCAGGTGAATTTTCCAGGGCTCAGATCTATTCCTACTCTAATAATTCTGTTGCTTTGAAATCATCTAATCATACTATATTTTTCTTCATGGGCTAATACCAGCTTATTTTATATTTCCCCTAATTTTAACTACCCCCTGCTCCTCCTATATTTTAAAAACAAGTCCAGTTTTTCATTGGTTTGTACAGAAATAATGTTTTAAGTGCAGTACTTGTATCAAGTTCCATTTTAACCTCTGGGGTTTGTAATAATGTCATTGACTTTGTCTTCTTTTTCTTTTTCTGTGTGTGTGTGTGTTTATTTTTTGTTTAAATTATTACAGATAACCCTTTTTCTCCCCAGTGACGCATTCCACCCCTTCCAACTCCCATCCCCAGTCCCTCTCCACACCATTGTCCCTGTCCTTGGGTTGTGCATATATGGGTATGAATTCTTTGGTTAATCTCTCCCCCTTCTACCCCCCCACCCTCCTCCATCCCTCTGAGATTCGTCAGTCTGATCCATGCTTCTATGTCATTGAATCTATTCTGTCCATCAGTTTATTAAGTTCTTTCAATTCCACATATAAGTGAGATCATGTGATGTTTGTCTTTCTCTGCCTGGCTTATTTTGCTTAGCATAATATTTTCCAGGTCCATCCATACTGTCCAAAAGGGTACAAGGTCCTTCTTCATTACAGCTGGGTAGTATTCCATGGTGTAAATGTCCCACAGCTTTTTTATCCAATATCTACTGATGAGCACTTGGGCTGTTTCCAGATCTTAGCTATTGTAAATTGTGCTGCTATTAACATAGGTGTGCATATATTATTTTTGATTAGTGTTTCAGGATTCTTAGGGTATATTCCTAGAAGTGGGATCACTGGGTCAAAAGGCNCAATATCTACTGATGAGCACTTGGGCTGTTTCCAGATCTTAGCTATTGTAAATTGTGCTGCTATTAACATAGGTGTGCATATATTATTTTTGATTAGTGTTTCAGGATTCTTAGGGTATATTCCTAGAAGTGGGATCACTGGGTCAAAAGGCTGTTGCATTTTTAATTTTTTGAGGAACCTCCATTCTGTTTTCCATAGTGGCTGCCCCAGTCTGCATTCCCACCAGCAGTGTACTAGGGTCCCCTTTCTCCATATCCTGGCCAGCACCCGTCAGTTTGTTGATTTGTTGATGGCAGCCATTCTGACAGGTGTGAAGTGATACCTCATTGTGGTTTTAATTTGCATCTCTCTGATGATTAGCAATGTTGAGCATTTTTCATATGTCTCTTGCCCATCCGTATGTCCTCTTTGGAGAAGTGTCTATTTACATCCTTTGCCCATTTTTTAATTGGATTGCTTGTCTTCCTTTTGCTGAGTAGTATGAGTTCTTTGTGCACTTTGAAAATTAGCCCCTTATCAGATACATCCTTGGCAAATTTGTTTTCCCAGACTGCGGGGTTCCTTTGTATTTTGAGGCTGTTTTCTTTTGCTGTGCAGAAGCTTTTTAGTTTGATGTAGTCCCATATGTTTATTTTTTCTTTTGTTTCTCTTGCCCTAGGAGATGTAGCAGTGAAAATTCCACTATGTGATATGCCTGTGATTTTACTGCCTATGTTTTCTTCAAGGATTTTTATGGATTCGTGACTTACATTTAAGTCTTTTTTTCCATTTTGAGTTTATTTTTGTGTATGGTGAAAGTTGGTGGTCTAGTTTCATTTTTTTCCAAGTATCTGTCCAATTTTCCCAGCACCACTTATTGAAGAGACTGTCTTTACTCCATTGTATGCTCTTGCCTCCTTTGTCAAATATTAATTGACCATTTTGGCGTGGATCTATTTCTGGGGTCTCTGTTCTGTCCCATTGATCTATATGCCTGTTGTTGTACCAATACCAGGCTGTTTTGATTACAATGGCTTTGTAGTACAGTTTGATGTGCAGTAAAGTGATCCCTCCCACTTTGTCCTTTTTTCTCAAGATGGCTGCAGCTATTCGGGATCTTTTTTGGTTCCATATAAATTTTCGAAATGTTTCTTCTAGGTCTGTGAAATATGCTGTTGGTATTTTAATAGGTATTGCATTGAATTTATAAATTGCTTTGGGTAATATGGACATTTTAATGGTATTAATTCTTCCAATCCATGAGCATGGCATATTTTTCCAGTTGTTTATATCTTTCTCTATTTCTTTGAGTACAGGTCTTTTACATCATTGGTTAAGTTTATTCCTAGGTATCTTATTTTTTTTAGTTGCAGTGGTAAATGGTATTGCTTTTTTAGTTTCTCTCTCTGAAAGTTCATTGTTGGTGTATAAGAATGCCATTGATTTCCAGATGTTGATTTTTGTATCCAGTTACCTTGCCAAATTCATTTATCAAATTTAGTAGTGCTTTGATGGAGTCTTTAGGGTTTTCTAAGTACAATATCATGTCATCTGCAAATAATGACAGTTTTACTTCTGCCTTTCCAATTTGGATACCTTTTATGTTTTCTTCCTGTCTGATGGCTATGGTGAGGACTTCCAGCACTATGTTGAATAAGAGTGGTGAAAGTGGACATCCCTGTCTTGTTCCTGTTTTTAATGGAAGTGGTTTTAGTTTTTGCCCATTGAGCATGATGTTGGCTGTAGGTTTGTCATATATGGCCTTTATTATGTTGAGGTATGATCCCTCTATTCCCACTTTGCTGAGCGTTTTTATCAAAAATGGGTGCTGAATTTTGTCTAATGCTTTTTCTGCATCTATTGACATGATCATATGATTTTTGTCCTTCATTTTGTTTATGTGATGTATCACATGTATTGATTTGTGGATGTTATACCAACCTTTCATCCCCGGAATAAATCCTACTTGGTCGTGGTGTATGATCTGTTTAATGTATTGCTGGATCCTGTTTGCTAGTATTTTAGTGAGGATTTTAGCATCTATGTTCATCAGGGATATTGGCCTATAATTTTCTTTCTTTGTAGTGTCTTTATCTGGTTTGGGGATTAGGATGATGCTGGCCTCATAAAAAGAGTTTGGGAGTTTTCCCTCCTCTTGAATTTTCTGGAATAGTTTGAGGAAGATAGGTGTTCATTTTTATTTGAATGTTTGGTAAAACTTGCCTGTAAATCTATCTGGTCCAGGACTTTGTTTCCTGGGAGTTTTTTTTATTACTGCTTCAATTTCATTAGTTGTTATCAGCCTATTTGTGTTTTCTGCCTCTTCTTGATTCAGCTTTGGAAGGTTGTGTGCTTCTAGGAATTTGTCCATTTCACCCATGTTGTCCAGTTTGTTGGCATATAGTTAGTTGCTCATAGTATTTTCTTACAATCCTTTGTATGTCTGTTGGGCCGGCTGTCATTTCACCTCTTTCATTTCTGATTTTATTTATTTTTGTCCTTTCTCTTTGTTTCTTAGTGAGTCTGGCTAAAGGTGCATCAATCTTATTTATGTTTTCAAAGAACCAGCTCTTGGTTTCATTGATTGTTTTGTATTTTTTTTTAGTCTCTAAGTCATTAATTTCTGCCCTGATCTTTATTATTTCCTTCCTTCTACTTCCTTGGAGCTTTTCTTGCTGTTCTCATTCTCATTCTTTTAGTTACTGTGTTAGATGGTTCATTTGTCTTCCTTTTCTACCCTGGATTATATTTGGTCTTCTAGGACCTATGTCATGAAGGCTGTCTCCAGGACCATGCAATGATGTAGGGCAGGGCAGAGGGGTTAGGCAGTAGTGGAACTACAGGACATGAGAAACTGCAGTTTTCCTACTCATGTGTTTTATATTCTCCTTGTTAAGTCTGAGAAAGATACCAAAGAAGAAATCCTGAAAGCTTTCAAGCTCTTCGATGATGATGAAACTGGGACAATATCGTTTAACAATCTCAAACGCGTAGCCAAGGAGTTGGGCGAGAACCTCACTGATGAGGAGCTGCAGGTTTGTAATTCATCAGCCTGGAACCCAGAATTCCTATTTGGAGCCCTGGG